ATGAAGTCGATGTGAGAGCCGGCCTCATTTAGTGCAAACACTTGCCCTATCCATAGTTTGACCAATGCAACCTCAGTCAGGATTCATTAGTTGATGATTTTGCAACCTCAAAAGAGTTTAAGTGTTTTTTTCTTTTCTCATTTTGGTCATACCAAGATTTTGCTTGAAATTGTAATTGTTAGGTCCAACTTTAATTTGCTCATAACTTTAATTTGTTTAAATGTTGCCTCCTCACTCACTTAGTAAAACTTTCCTCCGTTGGATTTTATCAGTGTTATTTCACTCATAACTTTGTTCTTCACTTATGCTGCTAAACTGTCTGAGGAACTCTCTTGTTGTTTTTGGGAGTTTCGATCTTTGTGTAACTTTCAATCAGCTTTTTTCACCAATGCAGGGGCGTACCCTCATTGTTGTCCGGTGTCATTATGTCATTATATTTAATAGAAACCTTTAAAAACCATTTAAAGTAGTATACACTTTATTTAATAATGAATACACTACAGTACATTATATAATTTTACTAAACATTTTAAAAAGAAGCCGACACGCGATTTAATATTTCAAGGTATGATTCACTGAAATTTATAATAACTTATTATATTATTAAAAATATTATTATTATAATAATCAGTGTACGTGTACTACTTTTCTAAACCTGGTTGTTGCATTTTAAAGCACTTTTCTTCTTAATTTAAAATTAGTTTTAATATAATATTTTTTTTCAATTCAAAAATCACGTGAATGGGCAGTTAAACCATTAATAACACATAATATCTTTTGTTTTTCATTAGTAAAATAAATTTTTATTTTAACTTTGTCAAACAAAATTAGTAAAAAAAAGTCGGGGTTCGAATTCAGCGTATCGCAATTGTGAATTGTGATTGCTTTTCACACCTTCATGTTTATTTTTTTCTTAAAAAATATATTTTTGTGATTTTTTTTTTCAATTTTTTTTTCTTTTTTAATTTTACAAAAAGTTTAGATTCTTTTCCAATTTTGGAAAACCCAGACAAAAACTTTAAAAGTAATCTTTTTGAGTTTTTTATTAGGGGTCATAAAGTACCTCTTTCGCTAAATTTATCTTTTGAATAGAATCTTTGCTCTCTTGAGCAGAGGCTTTTATTCAACATAAAGTGCTTTTGAATTGAAATTACTTTAAATCTCTGCGTAGAAGCCAATAACACTTTATAGTTATAAGTTGATTTACTGTATAGATAAAGTTCATCAAAGTACCTTTGAATTAAATCATAACAACCAGTTAAGTTACCACAGTAACTTAACTGGTTTGATAGGTGAGTAAGTTACTACAGTAACTTACTCACCTATCAAATTTACTTAATATACTTAAAGACATTCAAAAGTTAGGCATAAAATGTTTCTGTTTTATCTTGTTTTTTTATGTTGTTAACTCAGAATAAAAGCTTCTAACTAAAATTATTTTAACAAAAAATCTCAAATAGAATATAAAAACGCGTTACTATTTTTTTATATTTTCATTTTGTCTAATTCGATATCATGATCAAACATTTTCAATAATTATAAATTTAATTGCAACTGTAATACCCAGTGGCATAGTGAGGATCACTTCTGAAAGTTAAACGCATATCTAACTAAAGTAACAATGTTAGATTTAGAACTTAGTGCAAGTGAGGATGGAAGTTTTATTTATTCCTAAACATTTTGAATAGTTTATTATTTTTTGTTTCTTGAAAAAAAAAAAAAATTCCCGATAAGATTTTTTTACGTTAATTTGAGCCTGAAAGTAATAACAAACATTATTAGGATGCAAGAGAGAAATCATTAGAGTGCAATTAATGATGAAAATTCTTTTTTTTTTTAAATTTTTAATATAATACATTACAATAAAAAGATGTTTTAAACATTCAACTAAATTAAAATTTGATTGAAGATTAAGAGAAAATAATTGAATATTTTTCTTTTTATAAAATTTTTTCTTGCGGTTATGACTTGTAACTTATTTTGCTCCGCATAGTTAAACTTTTTTCAAGGTTGACAAAAAGAAATGATACAAAACAGATATCAACTATGACAATTTGAAAAAGTTCAATCTTTGAATCTTTGTAACTAAAGTTACAATATCTTTTAACAACTTTTAACATTTCACTTTTTTTATTAATTCCATAAATGAGCATGAACTTGTTTAGTGTTGTAGTCTGTTTGCTTGATAAATTTGTCATTCACACAGTGAGGACATGCATTCAACTTAAAACTTGACATTTTTGTGAGGACAACTTGAAACTTGTCATTTTTCAAAACTAGACAGTAGTTTTACTATTTCAAATAAGTTCCTCTCGCATTTTTTTCCATTTCAATATTTGAATCTATTCAACTTTAAAAATCATTAAAGTTACAATTGCTATGTCAAATGTATTAAATTAAATTATTTTATTTGATTTTTTGAATAAACTAAATAATACTTACTTTTTAGTTTATTACAGTACATTTATTGTCATTTAATTTAACATATTTTTACATCTTTTTATGACACAAATCACATTATCAACAGAATCAGAAACAAACAAAAACGCTGCATTGCAATTGCAACTTACACGATTTATAAAAAACATTTAAACCTAGATTACTGAAAAGTACTAAGAAACTAGAGAGAGTTGGGCTGTAAAGAAATATATTTATTCCGTTACAATGCTTTGTTACTTTTTGCAGTACTTTTACATGTAACGAGTTACATTTATGTTGCAGTACTTTTACTTTTAAGACTTTACTTTGTTTTGAGTTACTTTCAGAAAAAAGTACAAATTTCTTCACCGCAATTTATTTTTTAATATTGTTTGTGTAATGTTTGGTATTCTTATTTATAAGCAAGAGAATTAGTGCTGGTTTTTGTTGAACATTTATTTATAAATTTGTATTAAATTATTTTAACTAATTATATCATGTTAAACTGTACGTAGTTTTCTCATATCGTTATTCCAACTCTATTGACTTTAGTGGTACAGCTTTTATTCCATTCAAATAAGAATTCCTAATGTGGAATTGATATCCAAAGAACAGTTTAACAATCATTATATTGAGTTTCTCTTATAGTTCTCCAAAGTGAATTTCTTATTCTGAAATTATTAGTTATTATTCTTAACAAGTATTAGAAATTTATTTAGATTGTCCAGAGGAAATTGATTTTGTTACAATGATTATGAGCAAAAGTACTTTCTGCTTTGTAACTAAAAAGTACTTTCAAAAAACAAAAGTTCTTGCAACATTCTGTACTTTTTTACTTTTACTTAACAGGGTTTATCTTTTTCTTGGTATTTCCTGAATTCCGGATATTTTTTTTAACTATTATTTTTTACGAATATCCAAAACATTATCTATACATGCAAGTTTAGGTGTATATTTGTGTGATTTTTTTTTTGTTTAAGCTTAAAAAAAATTAGAAACAACTCAGCTAAAAGCAAAATTAAAAGGAAATTAAGGAAAAACATTCCGCATATTTTATCCAAACAATTTTCCGGGTTTTTAAAATATGACTTGATGATGTATGACTTATGTATTTTGGTTGAGCAGTTCTTTTTACTTTTACTTACTTTACTGTTACTTTTTTTTTCTTTTTACATTTTACTTGAGTATTTTTAAAAAGTAACAACCTAAATCCTGACAATTTATGCTGAGGACTAGTTTACTTTAAAACTCTTCTCTCATTCAATAAAAAACACTAGTTATGAATTTTTTCAATATTTTTCAGTAATCTCGGTTTTCATATTTTTCACATTAATTTTCTCAGTTCTCCCAGACTGAGATTCCGAGAAAATTACAGAGATTTCCAAGACAAAGTGAGATCTGTAAGTATAATTTCAAAAACAAAGTAATTCGATACTTCTATAGTTATAATATACATAAAATATACGCATCTATAACAAAAATTACTCTTTTCACCTGCCTAGAATGACTTATTATGAGACAAAATTTAACATAAATGCTATATTGACTAAATATAGCATGAGCGCCAACATGATGTTTGAAGTTTTTATGAAGGTTTTATTTTTTATTTGGTTCCTATGGATACTTATTTTTGCATCGCATTAACCTACTTTTGGTAGTTGCAGATTTTTTGTGTCATATACACTAAATTTGGCACAAGTAACAATATGAAATCTGTATTTTATATTAAGATGTTGATTTTGTTTGGTTGCTGTAGGTACCTTATTGTATATAGTAACAGGCTTTTCATAGTGAAAGTCAATTTTTTATAAAAAATTCATGGCTACGATGATTTACTGCAAACTGTTTTTATCATGATTTCACAAATAAATGAATGTGTGAAGTTTGTAATTTATTTAAATTATAAAATACTGACAAATTTATTTAACAATGAATTTCCATATTTAATGAATTAGCCTGATTTCTTCTATTTGGTTAATTTTTGATTAAATTTTATTTATTAAAAATGTCGAAGGTTGCTAAAAGAAAGTAGAACTATAACAGAAAAATACATAATACTAAAAGAACTTGAGATTTCAAGACTTATAGGCACAGAATGATACATAAATGTTTTTACTTCGATTTAATTTTTTAAAAAAGAAAAATATTTAAATTTGAAGAGATATTTTATTTTTGAGATAAATAATTTTTTGTCAACAAGGTTTATAATTCATTGAAATTGCTGTCTCTTTTAAATGAATCATACAAAGTTAACACAGAAATATGCACTACATTACTTTAAATACTTTAAAATATTGTCATATAACTAATCAAATTACTTATATAAGCTTTCTTTATTATATTATAATTCTCATTTTATAAAAGTTTCAACAATCACTCAAAACCTCAAATAGCTTAACAACTTCTAAAAAAAATAATTAATTTTCTTAAATTTTTTGTAATGCATGCATGTATACACATACTAAATACATTTATTTAAGAATATAAATACGATTTAACTATATTAAAATAAACAATGTTTAATGTGAAAAGTATAAAACATTTTAATTTTGTTTTTTTAAAAAAATTGGTTTTCATTTCAGAAATGTCGATGAACCCTAAACAATCGAATCAAATTTTAAAATTCACACACATGTTTCCAATTAAAGATTTATGTGTTGACGCTCCTATTTCCTGGAACGAGGCGACTTTATTTAATAAGACAAGTTTACCTAAAGATGCTGATTGTAAGGCTTTTCGAGCTACTAATTCTGGTAATTTATTTACATATATATATATATATATATATATATATATATATATATATATATATATATATATATATATATATATATATATATATATATATATATATATATATATATATATATATATATATATATATATATATAAAGGTGCATTTTTACATGTTTTTTAAAAGCAATTTTTTTCGGCAATATGATTTTTATAAAATGATTAATATTTTAAAATTTTTTATAAAATTTCGCTTCTTTTGAGTACCAGGTTGACCTACTTTTGAAAAACTTTTTTCCAAAATACTAGGGTACCAGTAATTTTCCCAATAAAGTTGCGCCCTTTAAATCTATCAAAATCATTCTCATATTTGATAGTATCAATATTAATAACTACTAGCAGTAAGCAACCCGTAATACAGGTTGCTTACTGCTAGTTTTGTTTTTTTATTATTATTATTATCTTCGCTTCCAACAAGGTTGCAAGCAACCACTTATTAGTGTTGGAAGTTACTGGAAGAGAAAAGATGAAGATTGTAGAGCAAGATAACGATTGACAGACGACTTAAAATATTGCGAATTATATGAAACAGGAAAGCAAGATGAAGGAAACGAATTCCAAAGAACTGATGTTCGAGGAAAAAAACTAGACGAATAAGAGTTTTTGGAGCACTTAGGAACAGTAACAGAAAAAGGATGATGACGAGTAACACGAGAATGAATGTTAGTATATGGCATAAGAGATGCTAAATCTTTAGAGCAGTGCCCATTATAGTATTTGTAGAAAAGAGAAAGAGAAGCAACATTACGACGATGTGACAGAGGTTAAAGGTTGGCAGCAAGAGCAGGTCCAACTATGTTTACTATGCGTTTTTGCACCTTGTCTAAAAGAGAAAGGGCATCATTAGAAGATCCGCCCCAGATATGGCAACAGTATTCCATACAAGGCCGGATTTGAGATTTATAGAGATAGAGAATAGAATCCAGAGTAAGAAAGTGACGAGCTCGATAAAGAGAAGCAACTTTAGCAGATGCTAATTTTGCAACGGATTTGATATAAGGTTTTCAAGAAAGATCAGAAATAAGAGTTAATCCTAGAAGATGAAGGGTAGGAGACTCATCGAGTACATTACCATTCAAAAACATAGGAAGGTCTAAATTATTGCGATAACGATTGGCCGAAAAAAAGAGTTTTATCTGAAATAAAGTTTACCAGCCACTGTGAGCCCCATGCTGTAGCAGAAGTGAGATCCTTTTCGAGCTCAGATGTCCCCTGCAAGCAATCAGAGGGAGTTGGCTTCTTATCGTGACAAGAATAAATAGTAGTATCATCAGCGAACAATGCCACCTTAGATGTGAGAATATCTCGAAGATCATTAATGTAAATTAAAAAGAGTATAGGGCCAAGGATTGAACCTTGGGGAACCCCTGAGGGTACAGAATAAGAAGAAGAGTGCTGTCCATCAAGGACAACTTTTATACTACGATTGGAAAGGAAGGATTCAATAATCTTAAAGATGTTTCCAGATACACCATAAGAAGAAAGCTTATGGAGGAGACCAGCATGCCAAACTTTATCAAATGCTTTAGAAATGTCAAGAGCAATGGCCTTAACCTCTCCACCTTTATCTAATGCGCGATAAAACCTATCGGTTATTACTGATAGCAAATCAGCCGTAGAACGAGAAGATCGAAATCCATACTGATGATCAGAAAGTAGGTTATGAGATTCGAGATTCTAGATTAAGTGTTTGTTAATTAAAGATTCAAAAACCTTGCTTATGATAGGAAGAAGACTAATGGGACGGTCGTTAGACAAATCGAATCGCTCTCCAGAATTTTTAAAAATAGGGATAACAGATGCTGCTTTCCAGCAAGCTGGAAAACAAGACTCTGATAAGCACTTGTTGAATAGTTTTGAAAAGATAGACGACAGTTCAGGAGAACACTTCTGCAAGACTATAACAGGTATGTTGTCCGGGCCGCAAGCTGTAAAAGAGTCTAAGCAGGAAATCACTTTAGATACAGAAGCTGGAGTGATATGAATGTCGAGCAATGGATCAACCTGTTTGACGGGTATATCAGGTAAAACGCAACTAGTGGCATCAAGAGATGATATTGATAAAAAGTTCTTGGTAAACAATTCAGCTTTGTCTTTAGGTGAGGTGACGAAGTCTGAACCGTACAAAAGAGGTGGAATTACAGACTTGCCCTTATTATTGATACTATTAAAGATTCTCCAAAAGTCACGAGAGCCTAATTTTTGTGATGAAATACAAGATTTCATGGTGTGAGAATAGTGGGCTTTGGCGTTAGACAAAACCTTTTTACAATGGTTCCTAGCTGTAATAAAGAGACGTCTGTTTTCTGGAGAATTGTTTTGCTGATAGATATGGAAGTAATGGTTTCGATTGGCAATTGCAGCAGCACAATGTGAGGAAAACCATGGAGAAGAGTGAGGCTTGACCTGGAATCGTCGAGAGGGAATAAAGGATTCCATGCCAGCTTGAATCCACGAAGTTATGTAAGAAGCACATTTGTCAACAGGAAGACGAAAGATTTCAACCCAGGGGCCATCACAAAGAAAGTCACAAAAATAGTCCCAGTCAGCTTTAAGGTAGTTGTAAGATGTACGATGATAGGGGGATTCTAATGTTAAAGAAGAATGAGATAATAGTTCTAGAGAGACCAAACCATGATCAGACGCGAAGGGTGAGTGTGAAGAAACTGAACACTGACTAGGATCAGAAACCAGACATAAGTCGAGTAGAGAAGGTAAATGATTCGGGTTGTCTGGAAAGCGAGTTGGAAAGTTGACTATTTAAGTTAGGGATTGAGAAAGACAAAAGTTGTGGGCCTTAATGCCTGCAGAGTCACTGACACTAGAGCCAAGCCACTCAGTGTGATGAACATTAAAGTCACCGACAACAACAATATTGGCTGATGGATAAAGAATGAGGGCTTGGTCAATATAATCAGAAATAACATCAAGAAGAGTGCAGTCTTGGGATGAGGGAGAGCGATATAGAACAAAGAGAAAGGTGATAGAGTGAAGTGGTGATAAACGAAAGCACATCAAAGAGTAGTCTGTGGATTTAAACCTAGTTTCCCGACAAATGGGTGAATTCTTACGAATGTAAATGCCCAGGCTAAGCATGTGACTATTGGAGTCTTTACGAATTAAAGGAAGATAACCATTAACACTAAGATCACAAGATGAGACAGCTGAACTCAAATTAGTCTCACAAAGAGCAAGCAGGTCTGGTGAACTTTGCAAGAGATAAGACTCAACAGAAGAAAAGTTACTTCGAAGACCACGAATATTGGTGAATGATAGGTGTAGCGAACTTGTTGGTGACTGTGGTTTTTTGTGTTTTATAGTTTTTGTTACTTTATTCATGTTTAAATTTGTTAAAGAACTTGACTCGAAACATTGATAGTACTCAGTATACTGTTCTATAGCTCAAGCAATTGCCTTATTTCCACTAATAAACCCTAAGCCGTAACAAAAGGCTCCAATGTGGCCTTGGCAATGCACACCAAAAGTACAAACAGGGACACCATCCATGCGCAACATGGCACTGTTAGTGCTCTGATATTTTTCAGCTGTTGATGGAATCAGCCTCTCTGAGAGCTACCACAGAGTTCGAGAAACCTGACTACCAGCCAGCCTCAGAACCATAAAACTGAGTTTTAGAGCTGTACCCTCATTTGGAGATAATAGAATGAGTTGCCTAGTCATAAAAACAGAGACACAAGCAAAACCCATGAATCGAGTCAAGAAGATCCAGCGTTCAACATCCTAAACTGGAAACAATGTATTAAAAATACATCTGCGACAGCCTAATAGATGATGAAGGAGTGCAAGGCTGGTCAACAGATAGAATCTGTTTACCCCTTAAGTCTTTGCCTAGGAGGCCTTCTACAAGACAGCAGCCGGATGCATGTAACATCTGCCCAAGATGAGTATTTTTATCGAGACACTATCTCTAGCCTTTACTCAACCAAGAGCCCTAAGGCAGGGGGTGTTTTATGTCGGAGTTTGCATCTCCTAGCCTTTGCCTAAAAAGGCATATCCTACAAGGCAGCAGGACATGAAGCAGATTGTACTGGGTTACATGTTACCAGTAGCAGGATAAACCTGACCTGACAAGAGTTATTATTAAATATTAAATAAATTTATAAATTAAATAAATCATTACTAACAATTTGAATTTTATTTATTTTCTCTAATGAAATATCAATTCATTTATACATTTTTTTAGTTGTGCTCACTTTTATTTTTCTTTGCTTCTTAATTTAAGAGAACTCTTAGCTTCATTTAAGTTAACCATTTCTTTTGCAATGTTCAGACATTGAATGCACAAATCACAACCATGTAAAGTTAATATATGACTTGAATTATATGCATAGATCATCGATGTCAAATTTCCTGATTCCGTAAAATTATGTAGGTAAATATTCAGAATATATTTTACTCTTAATTTTGCTTTAAGCGAAGTCGTTTCTTTTTTCTTCAAAGTTTTCATTTTACTGAGTGAAGAGCTTAAAAATATCACTAATATTGCACCTAAACTTTTCAATATTTTTAATATACTTTTTAAATATTTTTAAAACACCTAAAATATGACACCCAAACTTGTTGGCATAGAAAATGGATATCCGGAAAAACCGAAAAAAAGTTGAAATATATATCCGCAATTCCGGAAAGGGCTTATCCCTGCATTCGGATCCTATATTATTATATAGGGCTTATCCCTGCATTCGGATCCTATATATTATAAAGGGCTTATCCCTGCATTCGGATCCTATATTATATCATGCGGTAGTGGTGTAGTGGTAGAGCGCTCGCTTCATAAACGAGTGGTTCCGAGTTCGATCCCCACCACGTCCCTGGTAGTACCGCGCTCAACTCGTTTCTCCGCGCAGCGGCCTTGTTTGTCAAGGTTCGTGTTTTCGGAGTTATAGAGTTGAGAGAGGGTTATAGCCACGAATAAGTAGCCTCCTCGTCTGTAGTGGCC